CAGACACGCCCTTAATTAACCAAAAAAAATTACATCTTTATTAATAACAAATTAATTATTAAACAAAAATATTAAATATAAACTAAGCAAACGTGCATTGCACGTTACTTGCACCTAGTATATATATATATTTCAAGGAAGAATTGTTTGGTGAATTATTATATATTTTTGAAAAACTTGAACTTGATATTTGTGAGGTTGGGGTTATATATTGATTAGATCTTCTATAAAGCGATGAAATTTTTCCATGATAATGTTTAATGTTAACACTTTTGTCACTATCACAAACACGTTGGAAAATTAAAGTTGAAAGTGTTAAAGCAATATGATTATAAGCGCCACAGATAAAAGCCGCTTTAGAACACTTGGGAGAAATATGTGACGACCTTAAGGCGTTTAGAGATACTAATTTGTGACTGTATATAACCAAGACATTGACTTGTGTTATATGTGACTAACTGTGATCAGATTTGTCTTTAGTATGACTATTTGCGACCAAATAAGTCTAATTTGTGACTATATGTAACCAAGTTGTTACGTTAAAATCCGCAAGCATACGAGATTATTGACAAATAATAGAAATCAGTGAGTTTTGAGATTATCATTTCCACGAGAAATAAAATATAATATATAGTTCAATAGCTTTTATCAAATTCGAAATCAGGTAATATCAAAAGAGATGGTTTGTTTGTTTTATATAATAATCCTAAACTGAAAAAGCAAATAAAGTATTTATCTAATATATGAATGTTTGTATTGGAATCTTAAATCCACCTATTGCCATTTAATTCAATTCATAATTTATAATATAGTAAATTCATTCATTCAAGAAAATCAATAATCCATTTTTATTCAATATTCTTTTTTAAGATATATTAAACTTATGTTTAACACTACTCGATCCTATTTCTAGTTCGAATTCATATGAAAAAAATGTGCATTGATTCACAAGATTTATCATACATGATTGCACATGTCATAGATATTATTCTTAATACATATTGCTCATGTGTTGATGTTGTTACGCTCTAAACTTATTGCGAGTATTTCTACACTACAACAAGCAATTTATTATCTAATTGATGATCAAGCAATCAAATAATTCATTGAAAATACAATACCAATCAAGAAAAATAAAAAAAAATACTAAATTAATTGTCTTGTATTAAAAAATAAAATAAAAATAATAGGGTTCATCATTCATCAAATACAATTTAAAAACCTATTGAATCATCCTAATTGTTGAACTATATAAGAAATATTAGAAAAAATCACCCGGAAAGAAGAAATAATGAAGGAAGTGGAAAAATTCACTTTCTTGATTTGAATCTTAAAAATGGATGAATATTCTTCAATAATCTTGTGTAATCTATCTTGACCTTGATACTTAGCCTCGTTCTTCACTTCCAAAATACGTAGAATATGTAATTTTTAGATCTAAGTGAAGTTCGGGAATTTCTGGATATATTAGGTCTTATATAGGGTGCCAAAACATTGCATATCAAAATAAGGTGGAACGAAAGAAGGAAAGAAATTTTTTTCTTAGGGAATGGACCATGCGTATATATGGTTTAATTTGAGTGTACACATAGTTCATTCAATTTAGCCTCAATCAACCCAAATAAGGTTTGAGTGTATACATGGCCGGTAGTCCTACGTTTACATATAGTATTGTCATTTTTGGACCAAATTGCATATTGGTCCTTTAACTTTTCCAAGTGCGAATTTTGATATTTTTCCACAATTTCTCATCCTTTGGCTTCTCTTCACCTCCAATTGACCCTTGGCATTCTTAAATCACCGCCTTGCAATCAGACACAACTATTGGAATGTTTCACTTTAGTCCTCATAGTTTGACTTTCGTCATTTTTCTCCATTTTCTCTTGTAATCTTGTTCCTTTATCTTCCAATTGTATCCAATTAAATCATTGGCATCTTTGATCTTCATTTTTTTGCCCTTCTCATTTATTGATTGTTTGCAATTTAGTCCCCAACTTTTGGATTTCGCCCCTTTTCGCTATTTTTACATTCTTTTCTACAATTTTTCATCAAATATCGAGTTTTGCCTACAAAATGCAATAACCAAGTTATGTAGTATTTTATCCAATTGACAATAAAATATCATCATTTAGGACCATGAATAAGTGTAGAAACTGCACTTATCACAAGTCACTATTAGTTTGGTCACATATAGTTACAATTAAGATATCACAATGAGTCACAATTAACACAGACAAACTTGATCACTACCGGTCACAATTAACATAGACTTAGTCATAGAAAGTCACAGTTAACATATAAATGGTCACCACCACCGGCATCACCATTGGCACCACCACTCCACCACCGCTACCACCTCCTCACCACCACTAACAACACCGCATGACCATTATAAATGATGTTTGATTAACTTATAAACTTTCAAAAGCTTGACCAAACACACTCAAAGAAAATTGTGATGGTTAAAACAAATAAGGTGAAGAGACAGAAATAAATGAGATAAATACAGTTAATTTATTACCGAAACACAAAATGGTATATAAAAATTTGTATATGCCTTGAAATACAATGGTATTTCGCTGCTCATGGTATAAAATTGAAGGGAAATCACAAAAATAGTCCCAAACAGAGATAGATCGAGGGGTTTACTATAGACAAAATATAATCAATGCCTAATGACATGAAATATAATCTAAAATAAACTATGTATGCGAGCTAATATTAGATATCATCACTGACATCATGACCATTGATTACACCCAAAGAATAACGCGGTAGTTGTAGTACAACTTAGGGGTGTCGTATCAACAGGGAGATGGTAAAATATTTAAAGAATAAAAAAGAATGTGTGTTCTCATGGATGATAAGAAATAGATTGAATGTCACGAAATCGA